GTAAAGTTAAAAACTCTAATTATTATTTTTACTTTCAAAAGTATACTATTTGCTCCACTGTGCATGTCATGAACATTTGCAATACACATTATCTCATACCAATGCATTCCACCGGCATATGTAAGTTGTTTTGTCAACTGCTGTAATTCTACAAATTTACTAGAAAGAACATTATGTAGCGTTGATAGCAAAATGATTGAAATACATAAAATTATCCATATTTTATCTTTAAAAAGTGAAAATATATATTATAAACTAATATAGCTAATGAACCCCCTTTACATTAATGATTTAAAAAGATAAATGCCTTAAAAATAAGTGAGAAAAAGCAAGAGAGCAAAGTTGCGGAGCTACACTGGCATTTACAAGCAGAAACGAAATGGAAAAGAAACGATAAGAAATCGTACGCCGTTTGGGGTTGCATTTATTGGGGGCTTGCAGATGTGACTGCTTGCTTATTTTTGTTTTTAGTTTATTTTGTTTGATATTGAGTGAAAGTTTTCATATTATAATTTATGTTGAAAAACAATATAACAAAATAATTCACAATTAATTGTGTGTGTGTAATAAATTTATAGGACGGTACCGTTAACATGGACAAGATGACGGTAGCGCAAAAGAATGCATATCTCGAGGCGCATATGGCAGTACAGCAGCAAATGGCACAAGCGGCAATACAATTCAAACAACAGCAGCAGCAGCAGCAACAACAAACGTCCACAAACTCTCAGCAAAATTCACAACAACAAAATTCTCCGTCTAATAACAATGGTAACAATAATAATAATACAAATCAGCAACAACTACAACAACAGCAGCAACATTATGCAAGCACGATAAAAGTACCACAAATAAGTTCCTCTAGTTCCGGTGGCGCAGAGAGTACATTCACAGTACCCGACGATGTGGGCATGGGTTATGAGGGTGGCGTGCGTGTGCTACAGAGTTTAGGCAGTTGGTCACCGGATAATATAACATACAATATACCGAAACCAAATTTGATACCTTTTACCGAACCATACGTGGAGGGTGGTTCAATGCATCCGGCCAGTCGCCTGAAGGCATTGCAACAGGTGCAACAAGCTTCATCAGGTGTGCGCAAAACGAATCCATCAAAAAGTGAGTATGATCAAATAAAAAATAAAGTTTCATCTCGTTTTTCTCAAATTTAAAACTAAAATTGTTGACTATTTCAGCGACTAGCAAAGCTTTTGAATGTACCGTATGCGGCAAAGGACTTGCACGAAAGGATAAACTGACAATACACATGCGCATACATACCGGCGAGAAGCCCTATATTTGTGAAGTATAAAATTTACCCCATACCCTTTTAATTTCTACAATAACAGAAAAATTAATACTGGCTTCTGTTTTGCTTTCTTTATATGTCCAGGTGTGCAATAAGGCGTTTGCCAGGCGCGATAAACTTGTGATTCATATGAATAAATTTAAACATGTTACACCGACTAATATAGCACCGTTGGGAAAGCGCTTAAATAATATAATTAAGAAAAAAGACCCCGACACTGAAGATAATAAACAAAGTATGGAGTTACAATTGCAACAACAGGCCGTACAAGTGGCGACCCAAAATATTATTGTACAAACAGCGGCAGGACAGCATGCGGCACAAGCGACTGCTATACCCGGTATAATAATACCGCATCACCACCAACAGCAGCTGTCGTGGACATGTGAACTATGTGGACGTATGTTTAATAATAGAGACGAATGGACACTGCATGCCAAGAGCCATCTGGAGGTGAGAAAATGTCAGTTGATTGGCAGTAATTTTACAAATACTGCTACTGTAAGCTATAATGCTGTACTAAGGATAAATTTTTCTTTAAATAAGTAAATACATGTGAAATACTAGAAAGACAAGACAAGTTAAGTAAAATAGTTCATTTGAGAGTAGATCAGATAGATCAGTGTAAATAGAGAAAATTAACAGATACGCATACGCGATTTGTCTACGATATACTATACCTATATGAGAATTTAATTAAACAGAAACATATAGGGGAAGCTTTGGTACGTCAGCACCTAACATATATCGATATATATATATAGCTATTTTTATTATAATTAGAGTAATTATTATTAAAGAGTTATTGTTATTATATAGGAAATATTAAGAAAGTTATTATTATAATTATAGAGATTTTATTATTATTATAAAGAGAGTTATTATTCTTATTATAGAGTTATTATTATGATTATTATAAAGGGAGTTACTATTATTATTATAAAGAAAGTTATTATTATTATTATTATAAAAGGAGTTATTATTATTGTAATGAGAGTTATTATTATTATAAACAGAATTATTATAGTTATAAAGAGTGTAATTATTATTATAAAGAGAGTTATTATTATGAAGAGAGTTATTATTATAGTGTTATTATTATTAGAAAGAGAGTTCTTATTATTATAAAGAAAGCACTTGTAATTTTCATCAGAGCCTATTATGTTAGAATTCTTAACATACTATTTTTGTTATATTATAGTTTTATTATTAGAAAAGGAGTTATTATTATTATAAACAGAATTATTATAGTTATAAAGAGTGTAATTATTATTATAAAGAGAGTTATTATTATGAAGAGAGTTATTATTATAGAGTTATTATTATTAGAAAGAGAGTTCTTATTATTATAAAGAAAGCTTCTTTAATTTTCATCAGAACCTGTACCCATTTTATTTAGGTGGTGGTTCTTTCTACAATTTCGTATTAGAACGCTTCATAGCATACAATTCTTGTTGTAATTTTTACTTTATTTTTTCAAGTTCAGACATGTCTGAATCTTATATTAAGAGAGATTGTACATTCCTATAAGCTATATAGAATATAGTACACTGGGTTGATTATTTTTAATTATTAATATCGAACTACCACTTTATGATTGTAGAACTTAGGTTTCTACATTATATTTTCTTGACTAATTTCTTTAATGTTATATATACATTAATTGGTTATTGGCATTTGGGTATAGCTTCCATAAATTTTAGTAAGATATAATTTAAATTTACGTTATAATTTTGTTAATAAATAAATAAATAGTTTTGTGCTGTTATAATTTCGACTTTCTGAAATGAATAATCCTTTCCATCGATAAGTATAACTCATTTGTGATTGTATGAGTATTTCCGATCACTATCATCCACTGCAGATATTTTAATTAAGGTGTTATTGAGCCCGACAGGTAGTCAGTGAGAGCATATAATAGAAAGCCTATATATATACAGTATTCTCCCTTATAACGCGGTACCCTTATAACACGTTTTCATATTACGCGATTTCAATCCATCGTATAACACGGGCATTCCCCCATATAACGCGGGGATTTGTACAGTTCATAATTAGCTTCGCGTATTTTTGCACGTGTGTATACGTGGTACAGGGTATACCCCTATAATGCGTTTTCCTATAACGCGGAACCAATCTACCGCGTTATAGGGGATATTACTGTATATATACATTAAATCAATATGTGTTAAATGTTCTCTAGGTTAGGTTACTTGGGCTGCCCGAAGACTCACTTAGACTATGAGGTCCATTGTGATACCCTAAAGAATTTGACACCTGTCCCTGTCCCTATTTGGTACTGGCCACAAAGTCATTGACACGAGCTGTGGAAATTGAATCTAGCTCTCTTAGTGAATTGGAAAAGTGTGACTCTAAGTAGAAGAGTCTATATCTTGCGAAAGCAGGACACTGTAGACATGCAATGTCTACAATGTAAGGAGGTCCTGATATTGAGCCTCACGGCATGTCCTCCCAACGGGCAGTGTCCTGTAATTATTCCCAATATCTTGGATGTATTTGCTCAGGTTGATTAATTCACCCGATCTTTTCTTACTAATTTCTGACCAAAATTCCTTGGTTTTTATGCAGATGGTCCCTGTTGACCATCTTCTCTTAAATATTTGGTATGTCCATAATTTTATACAACGCCGACAAGAAGCAAGTGGTATACCTAGAATTTGTGCTGTCATACCATGTCTGGCTAGTTCATCTACTATAGAGTTGTCTTGGATGTCCCAAGGCAACTATATGTCCAGGGACACAAATAATTCGTATCCAAAAATATTCAAAATATTCAGTACTAACCTCGAGTAATGGTCGAAGAGTTTAAAGATTTTATAGCTGCCTGGCTGTCAGTAAATATGTTTATAAACTTAACGGAGGAAACATATATTAATATGTATATTTATATATATAATATATTATTGCTTAATATTTATATATGCTAAATATAAAAAATATACTTAATATTCAAAACAATATATATTAAAATGCTGTTTATTAGGGAGTGAAATTTTATTTCCACATATTTGATGCTGCGGTAGTTATGTTAGGATTTAATAACTTTCATTCCTTTCCAACTTTTCCTGCTTCTGACAGGAAGGACTACAAGTGTAGAATTACATTACTATTAATATTGGAAATATCTCACACAATACGCATTAATAAACTAGTAATTGGTACAAATATTTTTAATAACTTACATAAGTTGATGGAAAAAGGAAGTGATAATAGGGAAGTTTATTACTAAAGTTGTATATTATGCAGTTAATGATTTTTGTAAATTAATTTTCTTTCTTTTTGTATTTTATAGTATTGACATCAGGAACGAGCAGTAACAGAAACAACAAAATCCACAATAGCTACTAAGTCGTCGGATATTATGAACCAAAATGCCCAGCAACAACACGAGAGCAATCAGGTTGATGTGAATAGTGCACGCAAGGAGAAAATTATTATACAAAATCAAACGATTATTAATATACAATTGCAGCAACAACATCAACAACAACAGCAACAACAACAACTACAACAGCAATTGCAACAACAGCAACAACAACAGCAGCAGCAACAACACCAACAAATTATTAAAAGATCACATGGAAAAAAACTAACACAACCGCCCAGTATTTTTGCAACATCAACAGCAACAAATTCCAATTGCACGAATGGTAACAACAACATCAACAACATGCCTAACAGCTCCACCAATAATATCAATAATGGCAATAATAACAACAACATGGACAGCAGCAATGTCAATAACAGTATCAACAATAATAATAATAACAGCATCAGCAACTTCAACAATCAAGAAGTAACTAATTTTTAAAGAAAACTTAAACAAAAAAACAAAAAAAAAGCATAAAAAAATATTGTTAAATATTTTTATTTAATTCCTTAAACAACGGAAATCGTAAACCGTAAACCGTTCAACACAAACAAAGCATACAAAAGCCACCGACACTTATGTCCCTTTTAACCCCTTTTTGTTAAACATATTGCACTTTCACTAACTACACTAATTCATTCATCTTCACCAGATTTCACATTTTATTGCCAACTCCCCCACTGCAGCAACATACGTCCAAGCTCAATTGAACGGTCTCAACATTGAAGCGGCGGACAATGCGGCAGCTGCCAATGCCATACCGATTGTTACCTATAACGGCAATCAATATTGCGTAATAACTCGGAGCGGCGGCGTCATTGAACCAAACCTCACCGAGAAACCGGAATTGCTACACTTTCGTGGACAATTGACCACCACAATTGACAAGCAGGGCAAAGCCAACTTCATTCTGATGTCGCCACTGCAAATGCAAACCGAAGCGGAAAATCCAAACTGAAGTGTGACAATGATCGCCATCGGCATCGCCATCGACATCGCCATCTCGATCTCGATTGACTACGAGGTGATCGTCATGCTCATAACCGATTATAGCTATAAGCGAAGGTGTTAAGTGACTGGAAAATTAAATTTCATACAAAATTGAAATTGAAAATTGTTAAGGTAATTTAAGTAGTTTAATGGGAACCTTAGCGTTGAGATTGGTGGGTGTACATGTAGTCGGAATCACGGTGTAGGGATTGGTTGAGGCCAACTATTTTAAATGGAGTAAGTTGATATGATTTGCTATAATTTTGATAGTTTTGATAGTATATAATTTTTATTCCAAAATTTGAAAATTATATGTTTCTAAAATATCTGTAGGATTATATTTTTTTTTTTGTTAAGTAACTTAACTAACTCCCAATGCTTCTGGCAGTGTACAGTTTAGTTTAGTGCAATGCATCTGTTGCAATTGCATTCAGTCGATATGATTTGAGATATGTTAATAGTAAAATTGATTTTAATACATTTTAAAGCACCTTTAATTCAAGAATTGTAAAACTCGGGGGCATTTAAATGAAGTTAACCACAACCATATAATTGTGAAATTTATTAAAAGTAAAATTGTTATAAAATTATAATTTAAAGTTGGCAATGCTAAATTAAATCGAAGTAAAGCCATCAATAATTTTCAAGATATGTATATGATATGGTGTTAAAAGGTATAGGAAATGTCAGTAGTCATGTTCTTCAAAATAATATAAATGGATTTCAATCATTTTTAAAAATTTAAATTGGCAATATTAAATTGTTGAGCTTACATTATTCGTGAAAACCAGCTTGAAGTTAATAAAATAAATTGATAAATTAATAACAATTTACTATTTTAGAGAAGATATTTTTGCCAGTGCATAAAAAATGGAGACTAGTATTTATAAGTAAAAAAAAACAATACCGTCACACATAACCTCTCAACCATTCGTTATCCTATATAGCGCAAGAAAAATCACTAACTTGAGGTCTTCTTAAGAACTCTTCTGTGAATTGGCATAGAATTTTGTTCAGTAATATTTGCTGAACAGCGATGTGTATAGTCTAGTCACAGTTTTTGTAGGTGTCAATATAATTTATACTCAGATGAATTCAGTTATGCTGCACAAGTTGATATCAGATGAGAAGTCAAAATCTTATAAAAATATCACAATTTCAAACTGTTTTGGGTAACCAGAAGATTGCCTTGGATAACCAGTTTATATATGGTATATGTGGTATATAACCAACTTCGTGTAGTATATCCATAATCTAGTAGACTGTGCTCACTATAAATTATACAAGTGTAACTTGATAGCGTTTGCTGACAAAGGAAATTTCTAGCTAAGCGACAGTAACTTCTCTTAGCAGTCATTATTAATGGTTCTTGCAGTTTTAAAAATGCTTAGATCTATTTTTTTGTTTGCAGGAAAGGTTTTTGAAAACTTTTTAAAAATATTTAATTGAAAGAAATCCATTATATTTAATGTGAAATGGTCCGAAATAAGTGGGATAGGCGTTGAATGACAAACGTATATTTGTATATGGCTATGTGACATAGACTATAGCTATGAATATGGCTTTGTATATGGGAAGTTATATACAAAGCTTGTTATATGGACTTGTTATATAGGGGAAGTTTTATAATTAAATTGAAAAAGCATTTTTCAGAATTGCAGGGTTTAATAAAACCTTTAGTTTAATCCAGAAATATTTTTGATCAATAGTTAAAAACTTTTTTTTAATTAAACTGGAGAAATAGTTCTTAGAATTGTGGGGTTTAAAAAAACGATTCTGTTTGACTGAGAAATATTTTTAATAAATAATTTTAAAAATTATCTCTTATCAATTCTTTGTATCTTCTCTAAGATAGTCATTTGTTAATTTCAAGAAAGGTCTGAGCTGAAATTTTCGCTTCAATTTATATTATTTATAATGGTACTTAATAGATATTCAAAATTCAGTTATGTGTTAGTATAATTCATATAAAAGTTTAAAAAGAATTAATTAAATACTCCAATTAATGGATGTAGCTGTTTTATAGAAATACGGACAATCGAAGTACAATTTAATTTATTTTAATTTATAATTACGATATTTCGAAATTCCTATTAATAAATTTTTTTTTTAATTTAACATTATTAGATGGTACAATAGTAGAGTGTTTCTCAAAGTGGAGCAATTTTAAGAAAGCCGATTTCAAACTATATATAAGTTGATATTGTTAACTTTAGAACGACGTTGAACAAGAGATCTTGACGTTTAAGAATTTCTCGAATTAATATAGCAGTGTAGCAAATAAAAAAAAAAAAGATTGTTTATGGGAAAGGAAAAGGATGTAGTTCGTCTTTCGTCGCTTAAAAGGGGATGGTAATCTCACCAGGCACAAATTGCTATTTGACCAAGAAGTAACTTAAATAAAACAATAATATTTTAATTAATAAAATAGGGTTAATAAAGCCTATTGATTCTTAAGAGAACGTTTCAAAAACCTAAATATCACGAATGGAACGATTAAACTAATTATCAAAAATAAAACGAAATCAAAATCATAAAATTTGTATTATTAATACTAATAACTTACTTACTTAGTTAGCCACTACAGACATGAGACGTCCTTAGTCACCTCGAGTAGCCTCCGCCAGCCATTCCGATTAGTTGCTTGATGTCGTCAATTACTGGTAAATCAGTAAATCGTTTCCTTATCCGAGGCTGCCTCTTCGTTTTCATTGAAAGGTGTGTTTAAATGGTGGATTTCAAGCCTAACGGATAACCTTATATATTCATGAGAAGGATTTCGCTGCACTCATTTGTTCACTACGCACGGATGATTATAGCTATTCAAAGGGGGTCACGTAGAAGGTGTGTGTTAAATTAGAGAGAACAGTTGTAAGGATCGCGCTGGCATTTACCATGTTAAATGCAAACAGACACTTTACCTTGTATGTTCATTTCTTACAAAAGTATAAATATTCAATGTTTAGGAGAAATTCAAAACTCCTTGTGGTAAATAGTTGGGGTATTGGAATAGTTTTGAACCCCAAAGTTAAAGTGGGATGTATCGCAAAAAAGTTGAAGAAACACTGCTATACCGGGACAAATTTTTTTTATAATTTTAATAGAATATTGTTTTAAAAGTTGGCTGAATTGATAGTATTTTAAGACTTAGATTAAGAGTGATTCTAAATTGATAAGCTAGGGCCATTGCAATACAAATATTGAATAAATTTGAATACTAAACATAGACCGTGATTTTCAGTTAACGTGGAAGGTTCTTAGTTTTAGATAAAATAAATTATAACTGATCTCAATGATTGTTTTGAAAAATCTATGTAAATAAAATATAATATTAAATAAAAATGAAAATAGTTAAAAAAAAATAATAATAAATTCAATATTAAAAAACGAAATTGATAATTTAAGAAAATTAATATTAAAGTTTTGCTAAAATGTAGTTTTGCATTAAATGCTTTTAAATGTAAAAAAAAAAAAATAAAATCAATCTTTGTAATTTTAATTAAAATTTTTTAAATTTTATAATTTAAATATTTAGATATATATTTAAATATATATAAATTATATATATATATAAATTTATAAAATTAGCAATAAGTGAACTAACATATCCAGACTAAATTATATTCCAGCTTGAAAAATAATAATAATTAAAAAATATCAAAGGTGTAAAATATTAATGATTAATGATTAATTGAAGTATTGTACTTTATATGGTGAATATATTTGTATAAAATGCAAAAACACACATATTATTTATTTATATATATAGAGAGCATAAAAGGCGTGAACAAATACATATATACGAGTATGTAAGTAGTTTATAAAATTACTAAAAAATAAATTTATAAAATAAAATTTCCAAAAAAAATAAGTATTAAGTATTAAGTGATTGAATTGAGTCGTGCAAGTCATGACTAAGCTCAGCTTCTTCTCATTACTGCAATTCACATTGTTAATTTGGCAAACTTTTTTAAATGTTGATAATAAATTTAATTTATTTAAGATTTAGTTCATAATTATTATCAATAATAATTATTTATTATTGATTGAATTTAAAAAATACGACACTATTTTTTTAGCAGTATAACTTAAGATTAAAAACAAAACATACTCGTAACTATAATTTTAATGTGTAGATTTAAAATAAATAAATATTTATAATAAATTGTAGTAGATACATAAAAAATATGAGTGGTCATATAATCAATAAATGAATCAAAATCAAAATAATGTTTAATAATTTTAATTTCAAAATGTGCCAATATATATTTTGCTGTTCTATTTTTTTTGGAATTACAAACCGGTGGTCGTAGTTGCAGGACAGTGAACCTTATACAGTAATCCAGTAATCCAGTGAACCTTATACGGTAGATGAGTTCCGCATTATAAGGCTATTCCCGTATACACCCGTGCAAAGCTACGCGAAGCTAATAATGAACTGTACAAATCCCCGTATTATACGGGGGACTGAAATCGCGTAATATGAAAACGCTTCATAAGGGTACCTCATTATAGGGGGGATTACTGTATATATAAAAAGTGGTTCGATACATCTGTTGTAGAGTACACTTAACCATTTGTTCACATCCGAATTCGCTTTAATTATACTACAAAATCAGAGGTTCTGGTTTACATCCTGTATACCAACATTATTTTTTATTAGTGTTGTAAAAACCCACAGAGAAATCGTATAAAGAAGCAACATGAATGGATTACAATACAAATACGCGAGATTTGATGGAATGGGTACCCACACACCCATGATGAAATTTTGTTGTTAAAATATATTGGCCCTAAGAAACACAGCGAGGAGAATAATGATTGGGAGTGTAGGAGAATTGGTGTTAAGTTAAATGAATTTTATCATCTGAATGAGGAAAGCGTGATAATTAAAAGGCACATAGGTAAATATGTGTGCGCAATATTAGAGGTAAAACAGATAAGCGATGTCGGGAGAAGTAAAGCTGC